AAAAAAAAAAAAACTTTAAAATAGAAATTCAGCCTTCAGGGAAACAAAATGCGAAAACTTCAAAACTTCCGAAAAGTAAAAAACAAGCAGGTCCTTCCGGACATCCATTAAAATTGGAACGATACAGAGAAGATTAGCATGGCCCCTGCACAAGGATGACACGCATAAATCGAGAAATGGTCCATAAAAAAAAAAAAAAAAAAAAAAAAAAAAAAAAAAAAAAAAAAAGCAGAGGCCTGAGATTCACGTACAGAATCCGAATGCATACACTATGATTGTCTTCAGCCTCAATAGAGACTTGTCTCGGAAGCCCACACCAGCAAGAACCTGCAGTCAGGCAATAAACAAGTTTTATTATGCAGAGAGGGGGACGGGCAAAAAAGAAAAGCCTCACAGGCCCGGTCCCGCCAGCCCTGATTAATTATTTCCGACCATCGATTACGACGATCAACAGTCAGAAATGAATACCCCCAGCAAGTGGGATCTTCCCCCAGATCACTGCAAGAACGAAGACAAATCCATTTCCGAGAGTTTAACCTGGGTTAAAGAAGAAAAAAAAAAAGGCGTTCAAGAACTGCAACAGTTCGAGGGATTTCAGAATAACTCACACAGCTGGGGGGGGAGGGGGGGAGCGCAGGAGGGGAGGGGGGCAAGGGGGGAGGGAATGAAGCGCAATATGAACCCAAGAAGAGCTCAAAAAGCAAAAAGCTCAAAATCATGAGGTTTTTTTTTTTTTTTTTTCAAGGGGTTGGTGGGAAATGGCAGTGCATGAGCTGAGAAAAAACTTCCGAAAGGGCCCCTAAAGGGCATAGACGCATAGTGACACTAGGATTTTCCCAAGTGATTGTGGAGAGAATGGCAGTCAGATACATCCAGGATGGCCCGTAATTTTACAGTCAGACACATCGAAGAAGTTCGGATTGTCCTGGGGGAATCCCAGACGACATCTGGCATCACGGGCTGGACCTCTGCACCCCCTCGCCCAGTGCCGGCGCATGGGCTGGGGTGGCAGAGGTCCTAGCTTCTATTTCAGGGGAAGTAGTTGCGGGGAAACACGAAGAAACTGTGGGTTTCGTGTCCGAGGGGTGGCAAAAAAATGAGGAACCCCCTGCCCTGGTGAGTCACCCCCTCCCCCCTTTCCCCGCCCCCCCCTCCCCCCTCGAGGTTTTGGGTCCCACCCCCGGGCTGAGGGTCCGTGGCCGGGGACGGGGATCAACAACCCTGCAGGAAAGTCCTCGGGCGTGGTCCCACTAGCAAAGAGGATCGGATCGAATGACTGAATCTGGACGAGGTTATGGAGATGTGCAGGAAATCAAGATTGAACTTCTCTTCTGCATGTCTGCGTAAAACACGTCCAGATTCAGGAGCTCGATCCTATCCTTCTTGCTAGTGGGACCTCGGCCCTCGTGTGAGTATGCTCTACGCATTTCAAACAACGTGACAACGATTTCTCTTTCTTTTTTTTTTGTGACAACGATTTCTTTCTTTTTTTCATTTTTTTTTTTTTATTTTAAAGCTATGTTCTTCTCTCAATTTCACCTCACAGTCAAAGACCTGAACAAGAATTTGGGAGCACTCAAAACAATTTCGCAAAACAAATTTTCAAAGAGACCTCAACAGGAACAAAACTTTTCACAGAGACCTGAGACCTGAAGAGGAAAAAGCTTGGGTCTCGAAATAGTTACAGTTGTCGCAAGCTTTCCTCATCGGGTCCGAAGGATGGGCCGTGATTACGGTCAGGTACCTGGATGTATCTCATAACCTCACCATAATTACGTCACTGTAATTACTATAAGCCTGTATATGATAGTTTTGCTATATATGATAACCGCACCACTTTGCAGGGACTTGCGGCTTGCATAGGTTTGCTAATAACCTCACCACTTTGCCGGGACTTGCGGCTTGCATAGTTTTGCTATATATGATTTCTATGTATTTTTATATGATCTCTATGTATCTTTGTGTCAATGAGTTTGGGAAAAGCCATTACTGGCCTGTAACCCTCTTTGCAAAAGAGCGCCATCACCCACCCTGGGCCCATCTGGATCACCCACCCTGCACCCATTTGCTTCACCCACCTTGGGCCCATCTGGGTGAATGGTACATACTACACAGTAGTACATAGTACACACATGTACCATCTTAGTGAACAGATCATGAACTCAAATCTTTGAAGGGGATCACACGAGTGCAACAATGTCTGCGGCTACCCCCTCTTTTTTTTTTTTTTTTTAACGAAGGCACCAAAACTCCTTGAAGGTTGTTATATATATAAAAAAAAAAAAAAAAAAAAAACCTGCTTGAAGGTTATTTTGTGAGAGGAATCCACTTGCAGATGGGGATGCATACAATGTGGCATCCAGTGAGTGTCCAGATAGCAAAACCACAGATGGGAGGCCACCCACCTTCTATACCCACGGGCAGATTCAATTGCAAAGACAAACTTTTCAGAATGTCCAAATTTTCTCTGGAAGGTGCAATGGGCGCGGTTTCTGGCAGTGTGTATAATCTAGACTTGGGCACTGGACCCTGTCTCAAAAAAAAAAAAAAAAAAAAAAAAAAAAAAA